GGCTCTAAGACATCCTTCTTTGCTACTTCTTAAAAGAGCCTTGAAAAATCACTCATTGAACATGTTTCCCAGCCTTTCCTGGGGGCCCGGAAACCTTTCAGCATTTCCAGCATCTCCTACCTTTTAGTCCAAACAGGCAGCACTGTAACAAGTCTTCAGTGACTTCCTGCGCAGCCCAAGCCGCTCTTTCTGAGGTCTGTAACTCCGAGTTCGGTCCTGGCCTCCCTCGGCAGGTTAGCGTGCTGCAGGACAGCCTTAGGATTTCTAGAGTCCTCTTTTCCAGCATGGGACGTCTACTAGGCACATTCTTAATTCTTCAAGTTTTCAACAAAGGTGCTGACAGCCAAGCCCTTGACTGAGACCAAAGCAGTTTCATTTCCAACCCAGAGGATGCAGCCTGCGGGCCCAGTTGTGCCCACCGACTTGTGTTTCTGGCAACCTTGAGATGGCTTTTACATGTCCACATAAAACAAACAAAAAACATTTCATGAAATATGAAAATCGTATAAACCTCAAAGCTCCATGTCTTAAATGCGTTTGTATTTGGGCACAAGCGTGCTCATTCACATGAGTAGTATCTGTGGCTGCGCCCCGCTCCAGCGGCAGAGTTCAGCCTATGTTACAGAGGTGGTCTGGCCCGCAAAGCCTCGTGGTCCCTTCCGGGAGGTTGGCTGACTCCTTTCTTTATACCCTCCAGCCTCGGCTTGAAAATTCACGTGTTCTATTCTGAGTTTACCTTTTCTATAGTACCTTGCACTCAGCCAGAAGCAACTTCTAGACTCTCATAATCCTGCCCACGAGTCATCTTCTCAAGTTTCTTGAGTTCAGTAAGCACATTTTCTATCTTCCAAATTGCCATTGGAAACTTCAGAACACAGACCACCATTTTCCCAACCGTTTTGATCTGTTTTCTTTTCATTTTTCTAGATTATCCTATGGGGACCCTTTTCCATCTACCAGGTCCCAAAACCAGTGCCACATTCTTGTTATTTTTATGGACACCTCCAGTTTCTAGGCACCATTTTCTGCGGCACTTACACATTGCCGCAGTAACGCTGTGTGACAGTGAACCCGAAAAGCCTGCTGTGTGCAGTGGTGGGCCTGCCTTCAGCTCCCGCGGTCACGGGCAGCCTGGGACAGGCAAGCTGGAGCACTGGACTCTGATCCAGGCGTTGTCTGCTGTCTAGCGCATCCCCAGGCATTGGTGGAGACACACCGCACTTTTCCAAGTCCCTGCTTGCAACAGGTCTGCCCGGACGCCACTGACAAAAGTATCACATGGCAAATCCAGATCCGAGTTTTGGGAAATGCGTCACACCTCTCGGTCATGGCAAATGTCGTTGACGCAGGGAAGGATAGAGAATTGGATCCGTGGATGCAGTTTGTGTCACCTGACTTTGTAGTTTACTACTTAACAGACGGTGTAAACACTTCACACACTAGAACTCCACTCCCCCTCATCTCCTTATGCTCTCATCTGTGTTTTACTTCTGCACATTATATTGGCATTATTGTTGTTTCCAACCTTCAGTAATCTTTGAACATAGTTTTCAATAGTCTTTTTTTAACCACATCCAAGAAATGATTGGCCCAAGGCCCAAATTTAGGTCACCCTCAAACCAGGACCGTTCACCTCCCAGCCATGACACTGGTCCTTCCGTGTTCCCTTACAGCAGTCTGCAGGGGGTGTGGTGACGGGGCACGCACATCCCGTCTTGGTGGGCCTGTCACACACCCACCCTGCAAGGGGCTCTCATTCCAGGACCTCCTCCCCGAACAGATCCCACCCTCCCTCCATCCACAGACACCAGCATCAGTTGACATGTCCGCTCTCTGTCTCTTTCATTGGCCCTGAGGGGCACAGAGTTGGATTCACCCTAATTGACGGTTCCAGAAATACTCCTCACTGGTTCATGCATGGTCCTCTTTTATGTTTGTTTGTAATAACATGACACAATAAAGTGAGGCATTCTTGACTCATTTGAGAGAACTTCTGAGCACAAATCTTTTTTTAAATTGTGTTAAAATACACAGAACATAAAACATGCCATCCTAACCACATTTAAATGCACAGGTCGGTGCAGCCGTCACCACCAACAATCCTACAGCTCTTTGTAGCCTGTACATCTGAAACTGTCCCCATTAATCAACAAATCCCCACTGTCCCCTCCCACCAACCACTGGCACCCACCATGACACTTTTTGTCTGTGATTTTGACTGAGCCACCTCACTGGCTGATTGCACTCAGCACAGTGTCCTGAAGATTCATCCTTGTTGCTGCATATGTCAGAATTTCCTTCCTTCTGTACTAAATATTCCACTGTGTGCGCGCCATGTTTTGGTAATCCATCACTGGACAGTGGGCGCTGAGTTGGCTATTGTGAATAATGCTGCTATGAACATAGGTGTGCAGACATCCCTTCAAGGTATTTACTTTACCCTGCTTTAAAATGTTTTGGGTATATGCCCAGAGGTTCAATTGCTAGGTCAAATGGTCATTCTATTTTTAATTTTTTGAGGACCCTCCACACTGCTTTCCACAGTGGCTACGCCAATTTACATTCCCACCAACAGCACACCAGGGTTTCAGTTTCTTCACATCCTTGCCTTCATTTGTTTTCTCTTTTTGATAGTAGCCATCCTAACGGGTGTGAGGTGATGTCTCATAGTACTAGTTTGCTTTTCCCTAATGATTAGTGATGTTGAGGATCTTCTGATGGGCTCATTGGCTATTTGTGTGGCGTCTTTGGAGAAACGTCTGTTCAATCCTTTGCCCATTTTTGAATCAAGTAGGTTGTTGAATAGTTCTTCATATATTCTGGATATTAACCCCTGATCAGATATTATTTGCAAATACTTTCTTCCATTATGTGGGGTTGCCTTTTTACTCTAGTAAATAGTGTCTTTTCTCATACATTTTAAAATTCTCATGAAGCCCAATTTGTCTGTTCTTCTTTTGTTGCCTGTGTTTTTGATGTCACAATGAGGAAATCACTGCCAAACCCGTTGTTATGAAGCTTTTGTCCTATCTGTCTTTTAAAATCTATAGAGACCTAAGTTGTGGTCTAACATATGCTCTGTCCTGGGAAATGCCCCTACGCACGTGAGGGATTTACCATGCGCGTGCGCGCCGTCGCCCTTGGCTGGGGCACCCTGCACATGTCTGTGGTGCAGGCCGGTTCATTGTGCCATTTAAACCCTCTGCCTCCTTCCTTGTCTTCTGTCCGGTCATTCTTTCCATCACCGGGGTGGGGGGTGTTGGAGTCTCCAGCTGTTGGTGTAGAACTGTCTGCTTGTGCCCTCGATAGTGTATCACTAGATGAGTAAAGTCTGTAAGTGTCACACCTCACGCCTCCCTGGCCGCAGACACCCGGGCCTGCGGCAGCAGGGAGAGCAGGCAGATGCCTGGTGGTGTCACTGCAGTGCCTGAGCCCCGAGGCCCTTCAGGAACATGGGCCCGACTGCCGCCCTTTGTCCAGAGGAGAGCACCTGTCCAGGCCCTGGGGGCCGAAGTACGGTGTCCCCTTCTGCTGGAAGGCTTCTGTGCCGTGTGCAAGCAAGCTGTGTTTTCTGGGTCACCCTGTGGCAGCTGGCTGTCTCCTGAACACCTGCCCTGAGGAACCTTCTCTCTGGTCCTTGCCCTGCCCCCATACTTCTCATGAGCTCCCAGTGGAAGGCCAGGGAAAACCTACCCTGAGCACACACCTCTCTTGCCTGGTTTCCCCATTTCCTGAGCTGGCCCAGCACCCGCAGTGAAGGACTCATGGAAGTGATAGCCAGTTTCTTGCCACCCGCATCTGCGCTGCACGTCGGCCCCTGGGCCCTGATGCCAACGGTGGAGCGATGCCGTGCCGCACTCATCATTGAGGCCCTCCGCCTGCTCAAGTTCGTGTGGCCCCAGTGTCCTTGTGAGCACCGCGGGATGTTTCCCCTACCTCGACACTGTCCCCCCATAAGACTCTTCACTCTTGACTCGTTGGAAGCCAGCCTCCCACCCCCACGGAGCCCCGCGCACTGTGCAGTCCGCCCGGCCACCGTCTGCCCTCGCCCTGGAGCGTGCCCTCTGCGCGCCGGGCGTGTGCCGCCCGGGGCTGTCTCTCTCTGGCATCCCCCTGGCGTCCGTCCGCCTTGTAGATCCCAGCCGCCTGTGCCCCTTGCATGTCCAGGCCTGGAACGTGCTCCCCGCAGGAGGGGGGCCCTCGGAGGCCTTGCCCCACCCCCGCCCCGTCCGTGTTCTCAGTGGCACTGTGGAAGATCAGGGACATTGGTAGCTGGCTTGGTAGTTTCAAAGCAGTTTCCTAACTCCGCTTTCCTGGGCAGCCCCTCCCAACCCTGCACCCGAGTCTGTGGACTCCGCTACTGCATTCCTGTGGGCACCATCCGGGGCTCCTGTGTCTCTTTCCCTGGTGTTAATTAACTACCTCGCCAGCACAGCCAGCAGCCACCACAGACATTGCCAACATTCTGTTTGCTGTCTCTTCCCCTCAAGGTGCACATGCATCGGCCCCCTTCACCCCCGGTCACAGGGTCCCCAGCCTGTGAGAGCAGCTCCTTCCTGTCAGACTGGGGCCTTGGGACCCCATACACAGTGGCCAGGGAAGTCCATGGTTCCTGGGACCAATTACTGCATTCCTCAGCATAGCGGGGACCTGGGGTGACATCTCACAAAACTTGAGGGTTCCTTGAGCACACAGTGTCAGCCCTACAGTCACCCAGGGACAGAGCTGATGGAGCTGTTTGCACACAAGCTATAGTAGTGGGAAGGGAATGGGCTCACGTGGGCCCTGGCTCTTATGTTTCTCTTAGAAAGTTCCATGTGGCAGTTCTAATCCAATTTCATTGGCCAAAGCCTGAGTCCTGGTGCAGGGAAGGGAGTCATTGGAGGGCAGGAGCGAGAAAAGCCGCTGCTGGAGCACCCTGGGCCTGGGGTGGGGCTGGGCACATCCTGGGGAACAGGGTTGGGAGGCTCTGTCTCTGAACCTGTGCTTCTTTCTCACAGGTGACTCCTCAGACCACCTGCAGGAGGTGCAGATGCCTCTGATCCCATTGTTCCTGTGCCAGCTGCTCTATGGGCACACATCATTCATTCAGCCGGACATGATGTGTGCAGGGGACCTCATGAACGTGAAGACTGTGTGCGAGGTGCATCCCACCACGGGGACAGGCGCCAAGCCTGTGGTTTCCAACTGTTCCCCTGCTCGGAGCCATTGAGAACACTGTACTGAGTGGGTGGGTGGCCGCTGAGGGTCTGGGAGCACATCACTGTGCGCAGCCACAGGCTCGGCAGGACCATCAGGCGGAGTAGGCGCACACGGGACACAGACCCAGTCAGTGCCCAGTGCCCTGTGGACCCCAGTGCTGGCTGGAGCAGCCCGGGGCTGTGCACCCACCTGGGCGCTTGCCGGCACCTGTTGCCTTGGAGCACCTGCTGTCTCCCACAGCAGGGCCTGGCCCTGGTGGTGTGCACGTGCGGAGCGAAGGGGCTCCGGCTGGGCCCTGCAGGGCTGGGCTCCGGGCCACCCTCCTGCAGGAGGCGGCAGACTCCAGTCTCTGGGTTCACAGGAAACTCCTCTTTTCTTCCAGGGTGACTCTGGGGGCCCACTCGTCTGTGAACTCAACCGCGTCTGGGTGCAAATTGGAATAGTGAGCTGGGGCCGTGGCTGCCTATTCCCAGTGTATCCTGCCGTGTATGCCCGAGTGTCCTATTTCTCAACATGGATCAACTATCACATAGCACACACACCTCCACCTCCTCAGCCGCTCCCCACACTCTCCTGCACTCTGGGGGCCTCTCTCAGTGTGCTTGTGACCGTGATGGCCTTCCTGCCAATGCTGTGAATGCAAGGCCCCCGCCCTGGCTGCTTCATGCTGCATGCCACTGTCCCTGCCCAGCTCAGCCCTCAGGTCCCTGGACACCTGCATGAGGTGAGGGCCGCCGGCCAGGCCAGTTCTGGGTCAGGGAGGGGCTGAGCAAGGGCAGACCCAGTTACCACAGAAGGGCCAGGAGCCCAGGGAGAGCAAGGTGCCTTGGCTGAGTGCTTTGGCGCACCTGAGGTTCGGTAAGATATTAAATATTTACAAAGCGAGCATACTCGAAGTCCTGTGTCTGCGTTTCCACCCAGACTGCAGGCTCCCTCGTGCAGAGTGGCGCTGCCGGGGTGCCAGGCGGCAGGGAGAGGGAAGTGCAGAGCAGGTGCAGCGCCTCTAGAAAGAAGGGACAGCCACAGTGACATTTGTCTGCGACAAAACCTGCGGCGGGTCTTGAGTATACAGTCCCCAGGTAAAGGCGCCGTTTTAAATACAGCTATTGGTGTCACGGTGTGTTAAATACTTAAAATTCCAGTTTGAAAATTGGGAAATGTGGGCTGAGAACAAGCATGTAGAAGGAACTGAATAAAAGCAGGAATCAGTAAGCCAAACACCAGAAAACACTCAGACTCACATTTTAAAAATCTGGTTTTGAAAAACAAAAAGGAGAAGAAATCACTAATGTAATCAGGATATAAAATGAGACCGAAAACACACAAAACAAGACATAGCAAGAGGAAGTAGCCATTAAACACAAATTCTGAGAAATCATAAGAGATTGTACAACTCTATATAAGTAAACTTGAAGTGAAAAGTATCACTTTGTACAAAAATGTAATTTACCAAAGCTCACCCCAATAGAGCTAGAGGGTTTAACTAGACCAAATTCCATGGAAGAAATGGAGAAATTTAAGAAAGAGCTTCCCTGTCCCAGTGAAAGCACTCAGCTGAGGTGGTTTCCTCGGGAATCGCACCGAGCCCCCCCCTGCAGGGTCATCCAGTGCCGCCCCACGGCTCCGGCGCAGATGGGGAGGAGTGGGCGTCCAGATGGGCTTTGGCAGCAGATGGATGTGAGGACATGAACCTGGTCACACAGAAAGCAAAGGTTGGGACAGTCCAACTTAAAAATTCAAAAACCCTGGAGAAAGAGCAGCAAACAATCCTATTTTTTAAATAGTACATTTTAATCAAGTATGATTTATTCCAGTGATGCAAAGATGATTAAATATTAGGAAGCCCACAGATACAATTCACCAAAACTGCTAAACAATATTAATGAAAATTCTTTCATTCAAAACTCATTTCCAATTTTAAAAAAAGATAGGACTCAACGGGTAATAAGATATGTGTACCTCAGCCTGAAAGCTGGCCCTTCCTAGTGGGTGACGCTGCGCTCACTCCTGAAATCAGGGGCAAGGGCAGGCTGCCCCTCATGTCCTCCTTCCCACAGGAGATGAGCCACTGCAGCTGCACAAGAGAACCATGGAGGGGAATGGAAAACAACCACTGAGACTCGTAAAAAAGACGTGGAGCATACCCAGAATCCCCAAGAGAACAATGTAAAAGTGCCACAAATAGTAAGAAAATTCAGTAGTCACAAGATAAATTGTGACAATCGTCACTGGATTCCATTTAAAATGCATGTATCTGAGAAGACACCAATTATTATAGCAACGAAAATGTTACTTGTGGCCTTATCTTTTCCGAGAGATGTGGAACTAGATATAGGAAATCTTAAAAATACTCATGGGGAAAAAAAGATTTGAATGAATGATGATAAAGCATATTCTTGAACAGATCGAGTCAAAATGCATCCCCCCTCCCCCCGGATCTACATTTATTCATTTCAAAGTGTGTATCAAAACACAAGCAAGAAAACCCAGGAATAAAACTAAATATGTGATGGGAACGGATCCAGCGGAGATTCAAAACTTTGATAAAGGTTCTGTAATGCCAAGAGGCCACAAGGACTCAAGAAGTGCGTCTGTGCAGACACAGCCGTAGGTCAAACCCTCAGAACTTGGCCCAAGTACATGTGGAAACTCCATGTGTGATAAGTGCGTCGATTTAAATCAGTGGCGCAGGACCCGGCTGGTTGCGCAGGGGGTTAGAGCCTCGCGGGACATGCCAAGGTGGTGGGTTCGATGCCCGCCAGGGCACGTACGGCAGCCAGCCAACGCGTGGTCAGTGAGCCGAACCACCGGGCCGCGCTTCTCTCCCCCGCATCCGGGAATAAATCAGAAGTGCAACTTAACATGGCGCGATAGCGTTGGGCCCAGAAGCAGCATTCATTGTGACTAAGGCACTTCGTCCCAGGACTTGAGCAGGAGTGACCGTTAGGACCCCTTCAGCACCGCAACACAGGACAGCAGTCCCCGCTCCGTGCGGCCGCCCGGCGCGTCTGCTGAGGCGCGCGGTCCGGTCCGGTCCGGGCGGGAGTGAAGGCCCTGGCCGGGCCGCCGTGCTGGCTCGAGGCGGGGGAGCAGCCGCTCGCGGGCCGTGGGAACTTTGGCAGCACTTGGGTGTCTTCCCCTTCCTGGCCAACCCGGTTCGACCGTCGGAGGGGAAGTCAGTGTGGGCTGTGCCTTGCATCACACGCGTTGCTGCGCGCGGACTCGGCGAGGAGACGGTGACTGCGGGGCGGCCCGAGCCCAAGCTCGTCCACGGGCGAGGGTTTCCTCCCCAACTCGCAGGTCAAGACGGGGCCCCTGCTGCCGGCAGCGCAGCCGTCCTGCCACGTGTCCCCACACGTGTCCTTGTGGGCTTGGTGTCACGTGACAGAGCTGCTCCCGGCAGGAAGCTGTCAGAGCACCCACCGTGCGGACCGCCGCGCGCTTTCCTGCCGCAGGTTGGCGCCCGCGCCGGGCTCCTGCGAGCACGAGGCGCAGAATTTCTGCGCAGGCAGCTGATGCCGGGAGAGAGTGGGGAAGCGCCCCGTGCTCTCGGCAGTGAGACAGGAGCAGCGCTTCGCGGAAGGAAGCAGCGACTTCGAACTCCAGTGAACTGCTCCAGCGGATGTCTTGACGTCAGGTTCATCTGTACATTTTTTCCAGTTTTATTGGTCACACTAAAATTCAGATAATATTGATAACAGCCAGGGGATAACCTTGCCAAACAACCAAGACGAAGAAGCCAAAGGTGCAAACCGGGGGAAAACTTCAAAGAGACAAAACCTGTCGTCATGTCACAATGGAAACTAACCCTCTTGGTCGAGGTCATGGGGAAAATCAGGGCAGCTTGTCAGAACCGACAGACAAGGAGCAAACGACGGCAGAAGGGCTGAGGCAGGAATGAGGTCAGGACACTCCAAGCAGGAGCCCGAAGACCCCCGGGGAGGCGTGCAGGCCGCCCCGATGGCGCTGTCCGCCTCTGTGGGTTTCGGCTCTTCCCCTGTGACTCTTCCCGTGAAAGAGTTTATCGGGCGTGATCCCGGTAAATCCGGAGAATCAAAGAGAACACACATTGAGAAGGTTCACCAACAGATGTTTTTAAAATGTTAAGTGGTCCAGCTTTAAGGTGCCTTGGTTACATTATCCAAGATTAAAGTTTCCCACTTACGGTTCTCTTTAAACTATTTTTATGGTGGTAAATATACATAGCAAAATTTACCACTCCGATCATTTCGAAGTATACACTTAGTTCTGTGGCATTAGCCCACTCGCAGTGCGATGCTGCTGTCGCTGCTGCTCCAGGACGTTTCCTTCTGCCCAAGCGGAAGGTCTGTGCCTAGTAAAGACGCAGTCTCGTTCCCTCCTCCCTCAGGCCCTGGCACCCGTGTTCCGCCGTCTGTCTCCATGGATCTGACTCCTCTATAAACCTCAGAGAAGGAGATAGTGCCATATTCGACCTTTGGTGGCTGCCTTCCTTCACTCAGCATGACTTCAGAGTTCATCCGTGTTGTATGAGAATGCAGTTCCTTTTTCAAAGTGAATAATGTTCTGTCATATGCACATGCTCACTTTGTTATTGATTTATCCTTTGATGGACGTGTGGGTTGTTTCCTCCTTTTGGCGATTGTGGATATGCTACTATGGATGGTTGTGTAAAGTACATGCTTCATATCATGCCTCCTTTCAATTCCTTTGCATCTATACCCAGAAGTAGAATTACTGAACAAATGGGAATTCTGCATTTAATTTTTGAGGAACCACCAGACTGTTTTGGTGGAGCTGCACCAATTTACATTCTCAACAGCAATGCACATGGGGTCCGGCTTCTCTACATCATTATCAACTTTTGTCGTTATTTTGCTGTTAAAAAAAAAAAAGCTGTTCTACTGTGTATAATGCCTCAGTGTGTTTTGATTTGGATTTTCCTAATGATTAATGATGGTGAACATCTTTACATGTGCTTATTGAACATTTCTTTAGAGAAATGTCTTCAAATCCCTTGCCCATTTTTGATTTGGTTATTTGATTTTTTTTTGTTTGTTTCAGAGTTTTAGGGGCTCATGATATATTCTGGATATTAATCCATTATCAGATATGTGATTTGCAAATATTTTCTCCTGTTTTGTGGCTTTCCCTTTTACTCATTTATTATTATTTTTTATTGTGGTAAAATATACATAACATAAAACTTACATTCATAACCATTTTAGTGCACATTTCAGTGGCAGCAACCAGCACTGCCATCCATCTCTAGAACTCTTCATTTTGTAAAAATGAAAATCAATACCAATTAAACAATAACTCCCACCCCTCTTTCTCGCCAGCCTAGCCATCTCCATTCTACTTCCAGTCTCTATAATTGGACTGTTCTAGGCTCATTTAGGTGAAACCATTCAGTATTTGTCCTTTTGTGTCTCGCTTATTTCTCTGAGCATAGTGTCCTCAAGGCTCACCCATGTTGCAGCATGTGTCCGAATTTTCTTCCTTTTTAATGACAGTCCACTGTATGGATAGACCACATTCTGTATATTCAGTCATCCACTAATAAACATTTGGGTTGCTTCCGCGGACCCTTGGTGATTGTAAATGTTACTGCTATGAATGTAGTATGCCAGCATCTTTTTGAGACCCTGCTTTAAA